ACTCGAACACATCATTTCTACACTTGACCACATTTTTGGAAGAAAATTGCTCGCTATCCGATGCCCAGCATCGGTTTTGGCGTTGTCTGTCAGCAATGACACAGTTGAATATTTGTCCCTTGCGATTAAGAACAGACAACAGATAGGTGCTGTATTTTTGGGCTACGCAAAGCTCTTGACAAAGGTTCTCATTATAAACTATAAAATAAACTCTACGACATTGGAATCAATAGCCAACTGAGTTTATTCGGGCGCAAGTGGAAGACAGCCACAAATATGTAGACGAAGATAAGTATGGCTTAGAGACCCTTTAGGTAGCTTCAGGCGTACCACAGGGGTCAGTTTTTGCCCGATTTCATTCCTCATCTATACAAACGATATTGTAAGTAAAATACCCAGCGATGTAAAGATAAAGCTTTTTGCAGATGACTGCATCCTTTACGCCACGGTTAAGCCTCAGGCTGATCAGACGTCACTCTATAGAGCCCTTGCTGAAGTTTAAGACTGCTGCAAGTAATGAAATAGGTTTTTAAACGCTGATAAATCTATCGTTCTCAGTGTACGCAGAAAGGAAGCCATTTTGCACCGTTTTCATTCTGTAGACAGGATTCTATAATACAGGAAACAGCGGCTGTTAGATACTCGGAGTTGCCATCACGCAAAATTTAAACTGGAATCTTCACATCAATACAATCGGCACAAAAGCTTCTTAATCCCTTTGGTTAATTCGACGCAAGCTTGCGAGGCAATTACCCAACGTCAAACTAGCTGCGTAGTAAGCACTAGTCAGGCCATGCCTGGAGTAAGCCTCACGCATATGGGACCCTTACAGAAAAAAGAACGCTCTTAAACTTTAGAGAATTCAAAGATCCGCTGTCTGATTTATCTGCAACAACCACAAACACACCGATAGTGTGTCTGATATAATAAAATTCATTGGTCTATTTACACTTGGAGCTAGACGTGCTGAATGCAGCTTTAAATACTTTTATTTGATATACAATAATTTAATACAAACTAACAATCATTGTATTAGGCACCACACAGTGTAAACAAGTGATAGGTTCAATAACAGTAAAATGATACAGGAAAGCAGCTCTTCAAACGGCACACGTAAGCATTTTTTTTCCCGAGAACCATAAGGAGCTTGAACAAACTACCCAACAAAGTTGTAAATAGTCCCAATGTAGAGGTTTCCATAACAAAAATGAGGGAAATACTTGCATAAAGGTTTCATTACATTGTTGTATTTGAATTTTATTGTTGTATGTGTTGAGCTTTCGTACACGGTTTATTTATTCATTATTTAAATATTTAAATATTGATTTATTTTTTCATTCATTTATTTTTATATTTATTGTATCCTTAGGGCCCAAAGGTATCAGAGGCGGAGTGGGGAAACATGAGAATACACATAAATCATCAAAGTCGACAGAAAAGACAACTACAAACTGGATGATAAATACTCTCATCAATACAAATGCAGAGAAGTAGCTGCAGCGAGAGTACAAGAGAACAAATTCAATAATGATAAAAAATTATACAAACAGTGAAAACATAAATATTATGACGTCCAGGTTGAGACAGCGTTTATTCAGCCCAAGGGTTCAGCAACGAACGGGCAGTCTGAGATCGAGCATGCACACACACGATGATGATTGTGGTGACACCCAGGGAAGATGAGGACAGAGACATAGGCGGATGATGATGATTATTATAATGCGTATATGAAAAGAAGCGCATGACGAATGCCCACACGGATTCCCCCCACATCGAAGCGGCCAACCTGGCCGTAAAAAGTCAATGTGACAGAGAACGTCACCTGAAAGGCTTCTTGCAAGACACGTACAGGATATCTGTGGTGTGGTGACGGCGGTCTGTTGGGACGACAGGTCAGATCACACGATAATTAACGGGCGAAGTCTGCTCGATAACTATGTAAGGCCCAATGAAGTGAGGCGGAAACTTGTCACACACACCAGGTATACGAATAGGTGTGAATAGGAGCACCTCGTCACCAGGTCAGTAGAGCACAAGGTGATTGGATGCGTCGTAAATGACTTTTAGATCTTGCTGTCGCGCTTCCGTGTTGACGCGAGCACGATCGCGCCACCAGGCTAGTCTTGAAATGTATTCCTCGCTGGAAGACGAAGACTAGTTGACGTCAGTGTTGAAAAAGAAAACTTTGAGGAAGAAAGCAGGGGAACGTCCATAAACGAGGTAGAACAGCAAATATCTGGTGGTGCGCTGAATGGCCGTGTTGTAGGCAAAGGTGAGGAATGGCAGTAAAGTATCCCAGTTTTTGTGGTCTTGACTTATGTAGACGGCTATCATATCAGCGAGAGTACGGTGAAACCTCTCGGTGAGACCGTTGGTTTGAGGGTGGTAGCTTAAAGCTGCCTTGTGTGTTATTCCAGAAGCGCTCAATACTTCATTTAGCACTTTTGACAAGAACACCCTTTCACGGTCACTCAACAATATACGAGGGGCGCCATGGCGCAGAATGATGGCGTGCAGAACGAAGTCGGCAACTTCCGAAGCAGAGGCAGTTAATGCAGACGTTGTCTCCGCGTAGTGTGTCATGTGGTCTACTGCAGTCACTATCCATCATTTGCCAGTAGATGTGACAGGAAGAGGGCCGTAAAGGTCAATACCTACAACCACAAATGGCGTTGTGGGGCATGGAATTGGCTGCAGAGGCCCAGCCGGTGCAGGTGTCTGTATTTTACGACGCTTGCACGGGACACAGGAACCGACGTAGCGCGCAATACTAGTAGAAATACCAGGCCAGTAGAAGCGACTTCGAATGCGGTCGTAAGTTCTTGAATACCAAGATGTTCAGCAGTCAAGTCGTCGTGGAAGCCTTTAAACACGTCAAGTCGAAGAGAGCGTGGTAGCACGGGAACCCAGTGTTCACCATCTGGGTGGTAGATGTGACGATACAGAACTCCATTCTCCAGCTTAAATCGCAAGAGTTGACGACGATGTCGCGCGTTAGGTGGATGGGAAGCTCCTGATAGCGGGTCCATGATACGCCTACAGTACAGATCAGACAGCTGGCCGGAGTGAAATGTGCGCGTCATCCGAGAATAGTTGGTGAATTAAGGCGAGCGCAGCCGCTGCAGTAGAAGTGGTGGACAAACTTTGACCGATGCTGAGCTGGGTATTTGGTAGCGGGCAGTGGGAAAAGGCGTCGGCGTCTTGATGTTTTCTACCTGACTTGTAAGTGATATTGAAGTCATACTCCTGTAAACGTAGAATCCACCGACCCAAGCGTCCAGACAATTTTTTTAGCGTGGAAAGCCAGCATAGGGGTAGTCCGTAACGATGCTAAAAGACGGCTGTGGAGATACGGACGGAACTTTTGCACTGACCCGACCACTGCCAAGCACTCCTGCTCAGTTATGGCATAGTGTTTCTCGGTCGCAGTTAGAACTCCACTGGCATATGCAACTACTCTCTCTTGTGAACAGGTGTCACGTTGGAGCAGAACAGCACCTATACCACGGCCGCTAGCGTCCGTATGTAGGATGGTCGGTGCGGCCTCATCAAAGTGGCAGAGTACAGGTTAGGATGTGAGGGCACATTTTAAAAGGTCGAATGCTGTTTGACATTCTTCTGACCACAGAAAGGGCACGTCGGAAGCAAAAAGCTGGTGCAGTGGAGCCGCTATTGATGTGAAGTTGCGTATAAAACGGCGAAAATGGGAGGCGAGACCAAAAAAACTTCGCAACTCCTTCTGCCTTTCGGAACGCGGAAAGTGAAGCACGTACCGGAGCAATTTTGTCCGTATCCGGCCGAATTTCGTCTTTGGTCACGACGTGGCTCGGAACCTTGATAGCTTTCGTGGCTAACGGCATTTTTGTGTGTTTATTTGGAGACCAGCGGCGGCAAGACAGGTCAGAATGTCATCCAAACTAAGGTTGCATGGCGGGCTTGTTGGTTATTCATGTTGTTCTAGGTATAGCGCATCCAGGACTGGACAGAGAAAAAGACACAGAACACATACACGGCGCTAACTTTCTAAAATGAGGTTTAATCCGAGAAACAGCAATACTTATATCCAAACATGGTGCGTCACGACTACGTGCTTGAAGCAAATTCAAACGTTGTATATGCTTAGAAAACGTTGACGAAAAAATGACGATGTCGTCCAAGTAGCAGAGGCAGGTCTTTCATTTGAGGCCGCGCCACACGGTATCGATCATGCGCTCAAATGTAGGGGGCGCGTTGCACAGCCCGAAAAGCATAACGTTGAATTCGTATAGCCTGTCGGGGGTTGCGAATGCCGTTTTCTCTTTATCGTCTTCATGCATAGGAATTGGCCAGTATGCGGAAAGCAGGTCGAGGCTGAAAAAGTATTTCGCGCCTTGTAAAGAATCCAAGGCGTTGTCAATGCTAGGCATTGGGTATAGATCCTTGCGAGTGATTTTGTTGAGCACCCTGTAATCGACGCAAAAGCACACGGAGCCATCCTTCTTACGAACCAGATTGATTGATTTGTGGGGCTTAACGTCCCAAAACCACCATATGATTATGAGAGACGCTTCTTACGAACCAGAACCACAGGTGACGACTAAGGGCTAAATGAGGGGTGAATTACCTCTCGTTTGAGTATGTCGGCTACATTTTCTTCGATAATTTTTCTCTCAGCAGGAGACACGCGGTAGGACTGGCGCCGTACAACAGATGTTCCGACTGTGTGGATTCGATGCGTTGTAGTAGTAGTGCGGCCCAACGTCGAGGAGTAAACATCGAAGGAACTTGCGTGTTTCTTTAACAAAACAAGCAGCTGTTGCGTCTGTGAAGGTTTCAAGTCGTCGCAAATGGCTGCACTAAAGGCAGAAAAAGCAGGCTCACCACTAGGGCTGTCTTTGAAGGAGACGGCATGACGTTGCACGATGCACGCAGGCTTGGGATCCGTCACGCAAGCCACCGTAGTGTCCTGAGGCAGTAGATTTTTTTCGGATGTTGTATTCACAGCAGCGGGCTACATGTGCCTAACCATTGAGAAACCGAACTACACCGGAAGCGAGAATAATGCCTTTACCGACGCAACTGAATGATGGCGAGACCAAGGCGTCACCAGGGTCAATGTCCTTGGAGGCAATCGTTACAATTCGCTCTTTACCTGGTGGAAATTTGGTATCTTCCACACCTTTTAAACGAAGTGGCCTCTGGGGGTCTTCGTTGAGAGTGAAGTCCGTGCCGCTGAGGTGGGCGACGCGTTGGCCACAGCAAATAGCCTCAGAAGCAGAAGAAAGAAAACCCCACCGTAAAATTAATTGGTAAGAGCAGTTAGTCTGGACGGCGAACTGAATGTGGTGTCGGATACCATCAATAAAAAAGCGGGCTGTACAGAAAGCGGAAAGGCGAATAGTATACCCCTGCGCCGCAACCAACGTGGGTCCATCGTAAGGGGTCATCGCTTTTTTTCAGACGTTGGCCTAAATCGACGCGCATAACAGAAAATGCCGCACCCGTGTCCACCAGAGCATTCACGTACACTCCTTTCACTACCACCGAAATCATGTCGCACGGGCCTGATGGAGGAATATTAGTCCTAATTCGTAATGCAGTTTTTTCCCCCAAAAACTGCATGACTTAGTTTTCCGAATGACTGGCAGTGACGGATGAGACAGGCCGAAGTGGGGAGGTGGAGCGGCTAATGGGTGATGGTGAACGGCGTCGGGAGTTCCGGCTGTTCCGAGGTGCACTCGACGCGGATGGAAAGGGACACCGGTGTGGAGGTGATGAATGGCGTTGACCTTGATAGTACATATCTCGTTCACGCATGTCGTAACCACGGCGCTTGTCTTGCTGGCGCTTGCGGCAGAAGCGAGAAATGTGGCCACGATACCCACAGTAATAGCAGACAGGGCGGGACGAGTGCCAGGGTGGGGAGTAGAAGGCGTTAGGGGCACTTGGAGATAGCGCACTGAGGTAGGCCGAAGAAGGGTCAGGTGGCATCGGCCAGTAGTTGACCGGAGGAGCGGCAGCAACCGACGCGTAGGATGGTTGCGGAAATGTCACATGTACGTTGCTCGGAGGCGCGGCAACGACTTGTGCGCAGGTTAATATGGTGCGAGAAACAGATGGTTGTACGAGATTAGGGCCGGTCATGGATGTAAGTTCACCCCTGATGAGTTCACGCAAAGGAACTCCTAAAGGCTGTTTAACGCGGTGAAGAAGGTGTGAAGCCCATAGACCGCAATTCTTCTCGTATAATGTCCCGGATGAGGTCACGCAGACGGTCATGGTGCGTGGAGTGGTGGTCGCCAATGTTCGCTTGGAGACGAATGAAGTCCAGCGAATCAAGGCGCTGGCATGTCGTGACGATGTTAGCGATGGTAGCTGGATTTCGCGCAGCGAGGGCATTAAAAGCAACCGATCCAATGCCTTTCAAGATGTGGCGTACTTTGTCCGATTCTGGAGATGAATTGACACGCCGGCAAGGTGAGAGAACATCCTCAATGTAGGAAGTGTAAGATTTGCCAGGATGTCGTCGGCGACTATCGAGGGTCCTCTTCGCGACGGCGGAACGAATGGCCACCCTATTGCTAAGACCAGCGCCACTGGATGCCAGCGTCCAGCGACATGCCTGATTATGGGCCCAGTATGGCGCTGGTACCAGCGCCTTCCAGCGCAGGTAGTGGGACGAGCGGCAGCGTCCCAGTACTCTGCGCAAAACGGCTTTACAGGGTTAAAACAGGGTTGCCCACTCGCCATAAATAAACAAACAAATAAGTAAAATAGCATGCATTCACATTGAAATTAAAAAAGTTGAAAATAAAAAATAAAACGCCAATCGACAGGACTCGAACTCACCACCTTCAGATCTTGAACCAAGTACGCTACCCACTATGCCACGCCAGAACGATGTTTGGGGTTGTAAAACGACTATTTATCCGAAGAACACACCATTCAACTCCATGTTTATAAGTCGCACAGTCAAGACTGACAAAATATTCCTTTCTAAATAACAATTGCGTCTTGATAAGACGGTGACGACCGGCTTCCGGGCACCGAATGATGTGCGGATATTACCAAGAGCGCAAAGTTTTTTGAAGCATCCATATCTTTACTCTGAAAAATCTCAAACTGACTGGAGGAGTAGCCACAGATTGTCAGCTGTTGTTGCCTATAGTTCTTTGCTTTGATAGTCGCTTCTCGCACTTGCTACTGGTCAGCATGTACAGATGAATTAAATGTCTTGTTCGGTAGATATACGCGCACAGAATTGAATATTGAGTTGTTTTTTGTTTTTTGTTTCGCGCAAGCGACGAAGTAGCAGTACGCATTCGGCGTGCAAGATTACATATTTGCAGTTATATGAATACGTGCAATTAAAAAGCGTCGATGAAATGGCTAATGAAATCCGCTGGAAAAGTATTATAGTATGTTAGTTCACTAACACGTACCAAATTACCGACTCGAAATTGCGTGTTATTACATACTAGTCAGAGAAGTACCTGCTCCTGCGCTCAGAAGGAAGCTTTCGGTGACAGCCTACGTTGCTGAAAACACGACACATCGATAGTCACCGCTCCTTGTGCGGGCACCGTACAAGCAAATAAATGATTGATTTAGGCTCAGGGATGTTTAAACTGTACTTCACAGTCATTCTTGCACTTTAGAACTGTGCCTAGTTTAAGTAAAAAGCGCCGGCACGATAGGCCTCGCAGGGACGGGGCACTGGGTAAGGCTGCTCTTGAAGCAGCTGAGTTACGATGCTTGAAGTTTCTGAATTTGAGCTTTGCAACATTTCTAACTGTTACCTAAACTGTTACTAAAGTAATTGGAAGGTCAATAAATGCCAGAAATGCATTTACGGAGTGGCTATGCCGAGCGACAGCTGCTTTCCTGGCCTCCGCTGGCAGTATACAGCCGGCGTGCCAGTGTGCAGATTTATACAATTATATCAATACCAACAATTAAACAAACACCTATAGAAATACCAATGTAATCCTCTGAAAACGTATGCCAGGGAGTCAGTTCACGAAGGCGTGCCCAATTACCTGCTGAAAATTGCGTGCTGTTACATATCAGTCGGAGAAGCACCAGCTGCGGCCGACAGCTTTCGGTGACAACTTGCGTAGCTGAAAGCACGACGTTCGATCGTCAGCGCTCCTTGTGCGAACATCGACACAAGACCAAAATAGTTTATTCAGGTTCATGGATGTCTCAACAATACTTTACAGCTATTCTCACATTTTGAAGTTGTGTTTACACGAAGCAAGAAGCGCCAGTAACATATATACCAACGCGGCCGGCACGACAGGCTTAACGTTCGCTGGGCCGGGCATTGGGTAAGAAAGACCGCCCTCGACGCGGTAAGTTGGGATGGTTGAAGATTCTGAATTTGAGCTTCGGAACATTTCCAACTCTTACCTGAAGTATGTAGAAGGATAATCGTGGCCAGACGTACATTTATGCGGTGTGGCGGAATCTAATGACAGCTTTTTTTCTCGCCTCCACTGGGAAAACTTGCGAAGCGATTGAGAGAGCCGATTTACGTTTCGTTAACTTTGCGGCAAAAACAATTTCCTGTTTTTGTTAGGAGTGGCGTGCAGCTGCAGACTTACAAACACTACAACTTGGAATCGTTACAGCAATACACGGATGATGCGAATTTGGCCGGTATACGCGGGGGCATATGCGAAAAAGGTGGATTATAATTGCTGCGATACGTACGTGCGCCGCAAAAATTACGTATGCTCGTTATTTGTTATGGTAGCATCTCATCTCTCCGTTCCGTCGAATCAAGCGTTTTATATTCAACAACACGGAAGCATACCACGGCACACGCTACAATAACGTGCACGCTGCGCTGGTAGAAAAAGTGCGTTCTCCAGTATTCACCAGCGCTTGCCAGTAAAAATTTAAGCGCTTCCAGTGCTTCGCAGTGTGCACCAGCATCATAGCGGTCGAGTCAGTGCCCCTACCAGCGCGACACAACTTTTTTCTAGTGCGCCCAGCGAAGTGCCAGTGATTGCAAGCGTGTACCAGTGTCTCCAGCGTGTACCAGTGTCAAAAAACGTACCGGCATCACGCTGTTCTTGCAATAGGGTGACGTCTCCTTTTTTAAGAATGAAGAGGATGTTGGCGTTCTTGCAAGATTCGGTACCCTTCCAATCAACAGACATTTCGTATATAGGGTTGCCAGTTTTTCTAACACAATTTCTCCGCTATCTTTGAGGAGGTCTGTTACCTTATTCTCACCAGCGGCTTTGCCTGTGCATTTCTCCTAGGGTTTTGCTTACTTGCCCTGTAGTTACTGGTAGCATTTGAAATTTCGCGGAACTAATATTATTTCACATGACTGATTGATTCATATATGAGCCCTAACGTCCCAAAATCATTGATATGTGGGGTTTAACGTCCCAAAACCACTATATGTTTATGAGAGACGCCGTAGTGGAGGGCTCCGGAAATTTAGACCACCTGGGATTCTTTAACGTGCACCCAAATTTGAGCACACGGGCCTACAAACGTCCCAAAATCATCATACGATAATAAGACGGCCGTAGTGAAGGGCTCCGGAAGTTTCAACAACCCGGAGTTCTTTAACGTTAACCCAAATCTGAACACACGGGTCTACATCATTTCTGCCTCCATCGGAAATGCAGCCGCCACCCCCAGGATTCGATCCCGCGACCTGCGTGTCAGCAACCGGGTACATTAGCCACTACACCACCACGGCATTGCTTGTTTCTCACGATATCATCCTGGTTGTACTGGCTTCTGTACACCTCTCTGTAGAACTGCTCCGCGAACTCAACTATCATATCCATATTAGTTACACATAGGCCGTGCCATAGCCGAAACGCAAAACGCCCCGTCGCGGTGGTCAAGTGGCTAAGGTACTCGACTGTTGACCCGCAGGTCACGGAATCGAATCCCGGCTGCGGTGGCTGCATTTTCGATGGAGGCGAAAATGATGTAGGCCTGCGTTCTCAGATTTGGGTGCACGGTGAAGAACCCCAGGTAGTTGAAATTTTTGGAGCCCTCCATTACGGCGTCTCTCATAATCATATGGTGGTTTTGGGACGTTAAATCCCACATATCAATCGATCGAAATGCCAATCATGAAAATATCTATTGTTCGTACGTGCATCCGCTTCTTGTGTTGCACTCATTGGACTCCCCCCTCACATACACATACGCACCCCCCATATATATATAAATATATATATATATGCATACATACATGAAGAGAGAGAGAGAGAAAGACTGCAGAAAGAACAAGAGACCTAGACGTAATAGTTGAAAACAATAGATCAAGCACGTGAAAAATTGTCCCGGGAAAAGACGGACATATCGGCCGCTGTGCAGCTCTAATTCAGAATGAGGCACGCATGTGACAGTAGCGTAATATAAGACATGCAATGATTTAGTGTAGGAGCATTACTCGCTGATAAGCGATTGAGCAGCACAGGCACCACCCTTCTGGCGTGCTTGTTGCGTTAACTACGGTTTTTCCGGCACAGTGGTTTGGAAATTGGATCATGAATCTTTGACATCACGTGTATTATTTTAAAGTTTTAAAAGCTAGCTTCATATTTGTGGTGTAGAAGAAATTCTCCTTATAAACAAGCACTCTAAAATTTAGAATAAAAAATAAAATTTCACAGTTTCGCCGCAAGGGCAAAACAAGGAATGCGATAGCAACAACTTGGAATGTAACACTGAAAGTCGCAAGAAGATCGAAGCGTGAAGCGTGCGGCTCTCAAACAAATGATGCACGAAAACCACACAGGATGAGAGCAAACTAACAACGTTTACCACTCGACACAAAACTTGCTGTTTAAACATAAACGACGAACGAAACGTAATCACGACTACAGATGAGTAGTTGATTTATGGGCCAGCATCTTTGTCACCATCAGCACTTCATATCACCTTCTAGTACTTCTAATACGCCTGTACCAGTTGGCGTCGTTCCGCAGGCGCGAACAACTGGTTATATAAACATCTGGAACTCTCCAATACTTGTCTGTGCATGCCATGTTTGTACATTTATTTAGCGTCAATTCATGACGTATCGCTCAGTAAAAAAATTGCGGCATGGTCATCTCTCTTGAGCATGCTTCGCATAACGTCGATTCCCAGGTACGTAGGATCTCCCAAATTTTGGTCCTTTACTGCAAACATCCGGTTTTTGCCTATCCAAACTTTCCTCTTCACCTCTTTGAACGCTTATTCGGGTCTTTAGAGAGCGTTCAATTCTCACCATTTTATATTTTTCTACGTCGGATACCTTACACTTATTGTTACTTTCGAATGCTCTGCCACTTATATATTGTCTCTCATGTTTGAAGCTTTTATGCTATGCAGTTTCTTATTGAGCTACTTCGTCTCTTGTGACAGCTTGCTTGTGTCCTGTTTAACTACTGTACCTCCAACTTCCCCTGCTTATGTATTACGCGCCCTGACACACTGCATACCCTAAAATATAGCCACTTTCAAGCTCATTCTACTATTTTCGTATAAAAAGAAATAAAAGTTCATATAAATGACCCAAACTCTCCTAAAATACCACTAATAATAATATATTTGTGGTTTTACGTTCCAAACCAGATATGACTATGAGAGACCCTTTATGCAAGGGCTCCAAAAATTTTGACCATATGGTGTTATTTATCGTGCACTAACACCCCAAATCACTTGGATTAGTAGCCTTTGTTTTGCATCAATAATTAGCTCGTTGGATGTTCGTTAACGGCAGTTATCATAAATGGTATTGAAAATGACCACAGAAGATAACGTTTACCTCGTGGGGCTGGTAGCTGCGCGTACCAGATGCGGTAGCCTTGTAGGTAGCCGTGGATGGCGCTCTTGGGTGGTGGCTGCCACGTAACGCGGATCGACTCCGAGCTCAACGGCGAGCACTGAACCTCTTGAGGAGCCTGGCTGGGAACTGCAAATGAGACGCAGAATCCCAAAAGACTCAATGAGTAGCAATAACTTGGTTCGGGCGAGATGCTCTATTATCACATTATGGGACCCTGTAGTTTGGCTAGTTCATAACTCTTATGAGCGCTGTGTGTGGTGTGTTTGAGTGGAAATGTGTGTGCGTGTGTGTGTGTGTGTGTGTGTGTGTGTGTGTGTGAGTGCGTGTGTTGTTACAACGGAACTTGTATGAGATTACAACAAGGATTGCGTGTGCCGTATACTGTAACCTCTATTGCGCAAATTAAGGAAAAACAAAGTATAGAAAAAAAAACATCAAGTACGCAATGGAATTCGAGCTCGGGTCCCCTGCGTGCCAACCCAGTATTTCACCAGTCTATTCTGCCAGAGAGCCACGCCGGTGCTTGAGATTCCGTTGCAAACTTGCCTTAGGCAGGCCCACTGCCGGGAAAATTATCGCGGTAATATGAACAATGAAAAGTTTTACAAGTGCAAATGAATAATCAGGCATTACACAATGCGAATTTCGTACCGAGTGAGTCGTCGAATACTTTAACTCATTACAAAATCATCAGGCATCATCATTGACCACAGCATCGAAAAAAAATCCACAAAATTCTTTGCAGTTGTGTGCGAGTACGACGCTTCTTCGAAGAATGACGAAGGATGGAATACTGAATACCTCCCTACTACAGAAACATTGTCACATTTAATGGCATAGTGGGTACCTTGCAAATGTGCTTGTAGCGGTCACCTGAAACGTGTTTGAAAAAGACTCTGAAGCCAATATCTTCTAGGTGACAAGACAAGACAGACACGTAAACGCCGGTCTTAGAGCTTTCGCTGTGACTGTGGTCAGTGTCCGGAGCTATACTGGAGGCTTTTCAACTGATAATTAGGCTGCGCTTAGCGCATTGTTAAAGAATACTCTGATGTTTGAAGTTCGAATTTATTTTTTTTTCGTTTCGCGGAAGGAGGAGGAAAGCCAAAGGCCACGTTGCCTGCCAGAGGTTCTTACTCATTTGCGCATTCGGCATGCATACACAGTTTTGATTACATGTACAACAAGAAGGCATCAGAATGTACTTAACAATAAATGCAAACAGAGTAACACAGTTTAACATCACACAAGTACCTCGAGAAAGCAAAAACGTATACAAACCATACGATAAAAACACTTTATGTGAAATAAAAATATCATGAAAGTATCTCATGAAAACGAACGTATAACAAAAACACTACATATAAAAACATATCATTCAAACAGCCCGAGATTATATACCTAAACGCATTAAAATATGTAGCTTGAAACTGCATTGAAAAAAACTGTGAAAAGACATGCATAACTGATGTATGAAAAGTTATTGATAAGTTATTGTAGGCTGTTACAGAAAGCCTTCACATAATGTTTGAAAGGGGGCGTAAAAGTTTATGTCATCCCTCACAATGTTTCATAGCAGGTCCTCATAATTCAGGTCCTCATGTCCGTAGTTGGTTCGCGTGAGCAGTGGCATTGTTGTTTTGTGGCGTAATTGATACCGCGGAGATGCGATTCGTATACTAGAAGCATAGATTCGCTGCTTTTTAGGAGAAATCATAAACGATAATCGTAAATTTAATTTGCTTTCCTCAATGAATGTTTATCATAAAGATTGCGTGTGGGAAAGTCATGCGGCCTACTATGGCAGCTTTCGAAACTTCCTAATACCTTTTCTTGTAGTTTTGTTATTTTTTCATAATTTTTCACTGTTGTTGTTTCCCAGCCTTACGCACAATAACGAAGTTCTGATTCAAAAGGGCAGAGTGCATTGCTTTTTTTAGCAGCATAAGACTGTTAAATTTATATATGGAGCCTACTGTTTTGCTAAGGTCAAGGCTGAATCAATTAACATGAGTGTCGCAAGAGAGGTTCACTTGAAACCATGTACCCAGACACTTTTTCATGGCTACTCGTTTTATCTGCTTTCCTTTGAATAAAACACTAATACTTAAAGGCAGTGGCTTATATTTATCAGCTTTATTAATATAAATTACCTTTCATAATATTTAACTGATGTTTGTTCAAGTTCAGCTAGTCAGACAACCGATCTAAATATTCGTTCACTTCTTTTTCAATCCGTTTTAGGAATGTCCGTGAAAAAAAAATAGTGTCCTTCGTATACATGACTATGTTCATTGTAGGTGAAATGCTTGGGAGGTCAATAATGTATAGGGTAAATAATACAGTGCTAAGTATAGCTCTCTGCTGTACGCCAGTTTGTATTTTAAGATGTGGGGAGGTTAGCTGCCTGAGAAAACAATGCTGAAAACGGTCAAGTAAATAGCTTCGCGCGAGTTCTAATGTTGTACCACGTATTCCATAGTTATGAAGTTTCGATATCAATATTTCGTGATTCACACTCTCAAATGCTTTAGGTAAGTCCAGGAATAAACCAACTGTGTATAAATGATTTTCACTATATTGTAGTATTTATAGTTTTACTTGGAGGAGTGCGTTCTTACAACATTATTCTGAACCTCATACTTCAATGTGTTAATAGTAAATGCTTATTTAGAAATTCTTGTAGTCGTGAGTTTCTAACAGCCTCAAACAGTTTTGAGAAGAGCGGTAGTATTGATATCTGTCAGGAACTGTTCACGGAGTGGTTTGCACCCCCTTTGTGAGTTGGGGAAACTCGGGCTATTTCATGTTTCCTGGGGAAAAGTCTGTAATCGAAGATTACATCGACAATGTGGGCTAAGACTGTATATGATATGTGATACATATTTTATGGGAGATACATGTATGTCGTCAAAATCACCAGCTCCATTGCACTCAAGATTACCGATTACCTTTTTAACTTCACTCGCCGCTGTAGGAAATACCAACAGAGAATCGGACACACATTGTTTCACCGCAGCATATTTGCAGAGCGCAAAACTACGAGTACTTACGACGTAACTACAGCAGAAGAGAAAGAGCGCTGACTTCAACTGAAATTTTATTGGCGAAAACGCTGCAAATTTATACTCGTGACAGAACATCACCGCGCAACCACGCAACCCATTGCATCACAGCAAGACAATCATCATCTCATTATATGGTTCCGACGCCGCAGCTCAGCACAAATTTACAATCTTTTGTGTCGAAGCCAGACACTCGATTTCATGTTTAGTCCGAGCAAGCGATGGCAAGCTGATATGTCGATCACCCAGTATTTGGATATTATTGGCCTCCATAATTTCTGATGGTAGCTGGTGACAATTTTTAGCTACAACAGTTCACTTTTTCAATTCCGGTCGGCAACCACAATCTCTGCAACGAATGTCCAAATGACCTAGCACTACTGAGTATACATTTTAATGATGTTCGTTTCAACGTTCATTCAGGCACCGGCCCGTTTGCCCGACATATATGTTGCCGCATGACAACGGGAGCAAATGAACGACGGCTATCACACATGCTACGAATAGCCTTCTATGTTTGATTGAGCAGCAGCTTCTTCGTGCGGACTGCGCATTCACCCATTTGCAGAGTGCCGAAAGCTGCTCCGGGGCATAGAAAGCCACCTTCACATCTACCTTATCATCTATCTTTTACAAATTGTGAAAAATTCTTTGTAGATGAGGAATCACAGCCACGCACTTTGAGCTACTTGCCACGCAGTTCACTGGTGCTTCTCGTTCCTGTTTAATTGTCTTGAGCATCTTTTGCGCCACCGAAACCAGCACATGTTCGGGAAACCAGCGCTGATCAGACGGGAAGCCTGCTCAACGAAGCTGCAGATTAACGAGTGGCCGCAAGACTTTCGGAAGGCATGACTTAAGAAATGATTCGCAATCCCTCTCTTTACGAGCTTTGAATTAGAAGATGAGTAATGTAAAAGAACTTTGCTTCCTCTATGCTCATATTGCCAGCAAAAGTGATCACTTGAGATGTTTAATCTCAAATCTAAAAACCTATTGAAACATCCTCCAGAGGCTCATGCGTCAGAATAAGAGGTGCCATGCACTCATCGAAAAGACGTAATATGTTAGAAGCGGCAGCTTCAAATCCCCGATCATCGCAGTTTAAAAGCACAAGGAAATCGTCAACAAAACAAAACACTTTTACGACTACCGTTCTGTCGAAGCGGCTAGCCAATAGTCGGTCATGGCGATCGAAAAAAGTATCCCTTAAACAGGTGCTATGCATGAACCGATGCACACTCCTCTTTTTTAAATAAAAGTGCCTTCGTTCCAAAATACAAACGTTGTCTTTAGGCAAAAGCCAACGAGTTCAAGAAAGCCATTGACTGTTATGCCTGCAGCATTCTGGAACGCAACTGAACCGAAGTTGTCAATGCAGTCCTCAACGCACCGCAGTAGCGGATCATGTGTTAAAGAGTAGTAATACATGAGAAATAATGGAGGCCAATAATATCCAAATACTGAGTGATCGATGTATCAGCATGCCTTCGCTTGCTCTGACTAAAAAGGAAATCGAGTTTTCGGCTTCAACACAATAGATTGTAAATTTGTGCTGAGCTGTGGCGTCGTAACCACATAATGAGATGTTGATTGTCTTGCTGTGATGCGATAAGTTGCGCGATTGCGCGGTGATGTTCTGTCATGAGTATATATTTCCAGCGTTTTCACTAATAAAATTTCTGTTGAGTCAGCGCTCTTTCTGTCCTTGTCTCTTCTTCTGTAGTTACGTCGTAACTAGTCGTAGTCTTGCACTGTGCTATTATGTTGATTGCCAATCACCAACGAGCCCAAGCATCTGTATTATCAAGTTTCACCACGGGCAGTCTGACACCTTCTGTATTTTGAAAAAGACTGTTATCAGAGCATTGAACAGAGTGAGCATTTAAGACAATGACTGCTTGGTGACGTAAAAGAGTACCATTCACCGAAGGTATTTGTACGTCATCACAAGTAGCATGTATTCGCAAAACTTTTTAATTTCTTACGAAAGCTTTTTTGGACTAGTAAATATAAGCGGAAAATCCTTTTTATAGTATTTTGCTTGCTTTTTCTTAGCTA